CAGACTTGGAGACAATCCAGGCTCTCCCCAGAGTCTGGCCCATGGGGAAGACTTCACCTCAGCCAGTAATATTGGGTCTGGCCACTGGCGCTGGCTTTGGCTGTCCCACCAATGTAGAGGGCTCCCAGTTTACCTCTGCTGTTTCCACAAAAGCTCGGAGCCCGGGGAGCTGGGCTTTCACAGCCTGGAACTCCTCGGCTCTCTTCTCTGCCCCCTCGAAGCACCAGAACTGACACTCCCACCAGAAAGCACAGGGTCTGAAGTCAGGAAACGAGCTCTACCACCTATAAGCTATGTGGCTTCAAAGACAGTTGTCTCCCTGAGCCCTGGCTTCAACACGTAAAATGGGGATGGCAAGTCCTGCGTTACAAGGTGGCTCTGGGAGGAAGTGGACTGGAGGACAGAAGAACCAGGGGCCCGCCCGGAGCAACTGAGCCGACTGGCTGCCCTGGTAACCCGCCTGCAGGCCGTGCGGGGCCACTCACCCCTCCTCCGGGGTGTCCACCGTGGGCTTCGCCTCGTGTAGGCCCCAGGACAGAGAGGAGTCAGAGGGACAGCCTGCCAGCCACTGTCCAAGGTGGGCAGCCTGAGCCCGTGCCATGTGGATGGGCAGTTATGGGAACCCAGAAGGGAGTGACCACTTCCTCTGAGAAGGCAATGTTGGAGGACTTGGGGGGCCAGTAATCGCTGTGACACTATTATTTTTAGTGTGCCCCCTGCTGAGTGCACATCACCTCCCTGAATCTCCACAACAGTCCTTTGTGGTAGAGACTGTTGTCATTCCTGGCGTACGTAAGAGTAAAAGCAGCCAGCCTGAGGTCCCATTCCCGGAAGCCGCGGGACCAGGTCTAAGCCCTGAGCTCCAGGCTGTGGAAGGACATGATCCCAGTTAAGAGGCAAGAAGATCGCAAAAGGGAAAACGAAGGCCCTGAGGGCACGCCCGGGAAGCTCCTTACTGGTCCCGTTGCTCGGTCTACTGGGTGTCTAGCAACCACCACACACAAAAGCACCAAGCAGATGCTGAATCAATGCACGAGTCTCTCTCTCCTTGTTGGGGCCTCAAGGCACAAGTCCCCCCCACTGTCCCCCAGCCAGGTCAAGACTCACTGGGGATATAGAGGTCAGGGGCGTTGAGATCTTGCCGCGGGGGCAGAGGCACATCACGACTGTACTGCACCTCCCAGTTCTGGCGGTGGCAGCAGCAGCCAGGGCACGAGAAAAAGATAAAAAGAAAAGAAAGATGGGGGTTGAGATCTGGGGGCCAAACTCTGGGACGGGCGGAGGGAGGCACAGGGCCCCGCCAGCTCACCTGGTAGGCAGCTCACCTGGTGTGTGTAGGGGAAGACCAGTAGCCCCAGCTTCTTGGCCACATAGGCTGTGTCCACAGCAAAAAAATACTTGAGTTTGTTCACAGACACAAAACGGTGCAGCTGGGAGAGGAGAGAGGAGGCTGTGGGCAAGCCGCACACCAAACCTCAGGGTGCTCCTCGGTGTGCTCCTTCCCTGAGGGCTGCTGGGAGAATTAGGCGGGATCCCGTGATGCCCCATCCCTAGCCACAAATCTTGCCACCCTTGCCCTGGGGGCGGGCCACACCTCCTTGTGCACCATGTCCTTCCCATGGGATGCGATGGAGCTGCCATAGGCCATAGCCACGTTGGCCATTGGGTCCCCAAGCAAGTGGTTGACATTGAAGGCCACGTCGGCTCCTGGGGCTGGATATTCCCCTGGCTGGCTGGAGTAAGCACCGCTTGTGTCATCGAAGAGGGGAGGGGGGTCTGGAGCTGCCCGGGCCCTGTGCTTGGAGCCTGTGGGTTTGTAGGTACTGGAGTAGGTGACAGGAATATCAAGCATGAGCCCAAACCACCACCCCTTTCCCCAGGCTGGGCAGCCCTGTATGGGTTCTGGGGCCACCCAGCAATCGGTTAGTGAAATCCGGGCTGCATACAGGTAGGTAACCCAGAAAGAACTTTGATGAAGGCTCCTTTTCCAGAGGTACTAAATGTAGGCAAAGAAAGAGTTGAGGCAGCGCCTGGAAGCGGCTGCCCACCTATAGATTTGGGGGTGGCGGGCTTCTCGAGGGAACTGATCTCTGAACTGAGCCTTGGGGGAGAGAGAAGGTTCCTAGGTGAAGATAACTAACTGCGAGGGGACCCCGCAGGAACAAGGGTGGGAAAGGCGATAGCTGGGTACCCAAAGGCCCTGGGCTGTGGTGAGGGCCCCACCAGGGCCATGACAGGTAAAGAAAGTTCCGAAGGCAGACCCCGTTCGTGCCTGGGTCGGGCATGGGAATCCGAGCGGTGCTGTCACCGCCCGATCTCAGGATTGGACCCAGAGGGCAAAGTCCGGGACGCGATGTGGAGTCCCGCAGGGCGGAAACCCGAAAAACACCCGCCGCCCTGGGGAGCGGTCACGACTGCCCCTCTCCCTCAGGGTGAGCGGGCCGCGCCGCCGAACCTCCTCCGGCCGGTCGGGCCGCGTCCCGCCCGCCCCGCGCCCCACGCACCGTGGGCTCCGTAGCCCGAGTGATAAGCCATGGCCGCGATGCTGGCGCTCCCCAAGGGCCCGCTGCGCCGCCTCGTGGGTACGAATACTAATAAGCCAGCTGCTCTGCTGCCTGGGCGCCGAGCCGGGTTACGGAGCAGACCGACACGTCCGCGAACTCTCCGACCGCAGCCGCCATGTCCTCAGCGTTATCCTCCGTCGCCTGCCATTGGCTCCTCGGCGGCGCGAGCTCGTCCCTCCCCTCTCCCAATTGGCTGCTGGCCCGACCTCGCCGAATTGGATTCAGCAGTAGTCAACTTCCGGGAGGGAGAGAGGCGGAGCAATTCACGGGGCTCTCGGATTGGATGGTGGGTTTGCTAGTTCGGGGCCAGAGCAGCCAATGGATGGGTTAAGGTAGGAGGGGGTTGAGAATTATTTCCGCGCCTGCGTAGTGGGGCGCATGACGCTCGCCGTGCCACGACTACACCAGGTGGAGACCTGGAGGAGGCGTGAGTCCGGGAACGGAGTTTCGCTCGCGGGACGTGCCCCAGGAGGGAATGGCTCCGTGGGGCTCTACCAAGTCCCGCCCCTTGGGTCTCCTGCCCCTCCCTCTCAATGCCAGCTTTCCTCTCCCATCCTCCATGCTACCCCCCAAGTCCTGGCACGGAGCCCGGGCAGCCCGCGAGGTGTTAGTAGGAGGCCGGGCGGGGCAGTGACAGGGCGGCCCAGCGAACCCAGGAAGCTGACTCCTCCTCCTGCCTCCCGCCCCTCCTTCCCGCGCGGGCGCTGTCCGTTATCCGGTGCTGAAATGCCCTACGGCCACTGCCGCTACCCTGCAGAGCCTAGGGGCCTGCGGCTGGGAGGGTCTGACCTCCTCTTAAGACAGGTAGAAAGACCCCCCACACACACACACGCACACACAAACACGCATTACACATACTGAAAACTCCAGAAGATCTGAAGTCCCAGAGATTGGGCGGTATAGTCGGGACAGGACCCTGCACCAGGCCTGACCCATCAATTCTCCCGTGATCCAGCCAGTTTGGGTGTGGAGGTGCGCTGGTCCACCTCCTGAAGCTGCACTTGAAACTCCTGAGTCATTGCTGGCCCTGCGGTCCATCTTAAAGCGAGATTACCCACCCCCAACACCAAGCCTCCCTCCTGAGGCCGGGTGTGTTCCTTTCTCTCCGCCCAGTTTGTGACCACTCTCACCCTCCTCAGAGCTAGCCTTCAGGGGCCTCCTCTCTCACACACCTTCAGCCACCACTTTCTAGAGAGCAAAATCAGGTCCTCTGCAACCTGCTTCTAGCTAACCCAGTGTCCAGTTACACCAGGTGACTTTCCTGCTTTCTAAACACAGCCCACGTGATCTAATCGCAGTGTCTTTGCTCAGAAATCCCCTCCACCTGGGATGCCTTTCCCCCCTCATATCCATTTGTCCAAAGCCTATTCTTTAAGAATCAGTTTAACTTGTGCCTCTCAGAGAGACAGAAAGAACAGAGGACTGACCTGGCTGGGGGCTTGAGACCAGAGGCTGGGTTCCAGGCTCCCTCTGGGTACACTAGTCTGTCCTGGATATAAATTCCATTAGGACTGGACCTGTGTCATTCTCCATTTCTCCCCTTGTCTTCAGAGTGCCAAACACAATACTTGGATATAGAAGATACCCAACAAACCTCTGTGCCCAATAAATAAAAAATGAACGGATGAAACCCTGGGTCACTCCTTTACTCTATCATTTCAATCACCTCATTTTTTAAACCGGTAGGAGTGTTGAACTGAATGGTTTTTGAGTTGCCCTTTGGGGGGAAAAAGTGACAAAGCAACCCAAAACTCACCTATATCCCACCAAATAATTGTTTAGTTTGGGGGTAGCCCAGACCCAGGGGCAGGTGTGAAGGTCTGAGGCCCCTAAGGGCCAGGGAGCAGCCCTGCGTCCACCACTACTTGGGAGGGCATCCTCCCAAGGACAGATCCCACTCCCCTGTACCTCATGATGAACGGTTTGCACCTTTCTATTCCCATTTCTTAGGTGAGAAAACTGAGGTTGGGGTAGAGAGTGCAGGCCCAAGGTCACGGAGCCTAGGACCCTGGGTGTCCTGTCTGCTCTCAAGCAGAATCCAGCACCTCTGTCCAGTGAGTGAGGCGTATCGCACCTTTCTGGGTTGTAACTGCTTTTTTCCCTCCAGCAAGGCTTCCGGAGTGGAGTCTGGGTGGGCTTAAGCCTAGGCCTATTCCTCAGAGACGGGACGCCGGAGGTATTACCCACCTTTGAGATCCATCCCCCCTCATTTTACAGCAGGGGAAACAGGCCCCAAGAGCAAGGACTCGGCCAAGGTCGCAAGCGCAAGCGCGGCGGGAGGAGAACCCAAGCTTGGGTCGGCCAGCTTGGGGTTCTTGGGTGGGGGGGTGGGCAGTGCCCGTGGTACCAGGCGCTGCCGGCGGCGCCTCGAGTGCCGCGGGGGCGGGGTCAGCGGAGGGCGGGGCGCCGGGCACCGCGGCCGCCAACGCTGCCGCCGCCGCCGCCGCCGCCGCCGCGCTCGGGCTCGAGCTCCGCGCACTCCCTGCGCGGCCGCCGAGTCGAGCGGACGCCCTCGGGGCCGCGCCGCAGCCCTCTGCGCTCCCCCCTATCATGCCCCGGGCCCGGGCCCGGGCCGCTCAAGCACCCAGGACACCATGCCCGAGGGCGGCGGAGGCGACAGCGGGGAGGTGCCCGCGTTCATCCCGGACGGCGAGCCGCTGCGGGAGGAGGTACCGGCGCTGTGTGCTTGGGGGCCGGAGCCAGGGCTGGAGCGGGGGTGAGGGGGACTACGGAAGGGGCAAACACCGGGACAGGGGGTGAGGAGGGAAGTCCCCAAACCCCAGTTGCCAATGACGTCATTAGGGTAGCTGGCGTCTGGCGAGCGGAGGGGCTCGCGTGGGGGTTGAGGTGGGGGGTGGCTGGAAAGGAGGAGGGGGAGACTCCCGCCCCGGGCGCCCCTTCGTCCCTCCTCGCCCTCCTGTGACGTCAGCGCCTGGCCCCTGCGCGCCCTCATTCCGCAGCGCTGCCCCTCACCCCCAAGGCCCGGGGGTCAGGCCCCCCGCCCAGCCCAGCCCAGCGGCTCCCGAGGTGCCCGGGCGACGCCTGCAATGCAGCAGCAGTAGCCGGGAGTTGGGGGGAGGGAGCGGAGGGAGGAGGGGAAAGAGGAAAGGATGCGGCCTCTGGTACCCCTACTCCCTCTCCCCGCGATGAGGCCCGAGGGCCCATCCTTCAGAGTGGGACCCCCAGACTGGCCTCTCACCAGCCCTAGCCAAGGAAAGGATCCGCAGAAGTGTGGGGCCCTGCGCCCGGCGTGGGGGTGATAGGTGGCCAGTGGGTCTGTGTATGTGTTTGGATGGATGTAGTGTGCTTGTGGGTGTGTGAATGCTAGTCCATGCTCCCCACACCTTGGATGAGCCAAAGTCAGGTGATGGTCTGGTGGGTGCTTCGCCTGGGTGATGTGGGGATGTGTGAGCGTGTTCTGTCGTGGGTGGGTCTCTCCTGTAGAGTCTAGGGTGTGATTTCAGGTTGCAGTAGGGGTGGGGTTGGAGGCTGTGCACGCGCTCAGGCGAGGCTCTGGCGTGGACCTGGGCTTCAGTGAATTTGTAACGGGTATATGCGCGCGTGTGTGTGTCCTGTGCTGGGTGGGTCTGTGCGCGCGTGTGCGTGGTGGTGGGAGTTGCGAGTGCAGGCACCTGTGCTCCATGTTATGATTGGGTGAGCACCCATGAAGGGCCGGGATCTGGGCTGAGCCGGCCGTGTGCACATCCATGGTAGGTGGGTCTGTGATTAACATGGGCTGGAGGGTGGGTGTGTGGGTGTGTGCCTCTGACCAGACCTGCAGGTGATGGTGGGGATGTGTACATGTGGTGGGTGACCGGGGGTAGGGTAGACTGCCCTGGGCTGGGCTGGGGACATTTCCTCTCCTCTGGGGTCTCTCAAGACCTGGTGGTCCTGGGGTTGAAGAGGTGGCCCCTTAACTTTTCCTTCTCCATTTCTTCCCCACTCCTTCCCCCATTTCTGTCTCTGTGGGGACCCTAGAGGTGAGGTGGGGGCCAGGCTGGAGGGGAGGCCAAACCCTCCGGGCCAAGAGTGGCCCCTGCTGCCCAGCAGCTGTGTTCCGCCCCCGCCGTCATAGCACAGATGGGGAGCGGAGGACGCCGCTCCATCTGCTCCCCCGACTCACACCTCCTCCGTTCCCAGCTCTTCCTCTTTCTTGCTTACTTAAAAGCTTCTCCCAAGTCTCTAAGTGGAACCAAGGGACGAGAGGGAGTCTCAGGGCAACAGCAATAATATTTATTGCTATGGCCAGACCCTGTGCCGAGATGGCTACACATAAGATCTTGTTGAAACCTCACAAAAGCCCCAGTTTACAGATGAGGAGACTGAGGTCCAGAGAGGATGGGGGAGCTGTCCAGTAAGTGGGAGAGCCAGTACCGAGTCCTGGGCCGTGGGGCTCTAAAGCCCATGCTCTTCATCCTTAGGCCCCCTGCCACTCTGGCCTCCTGTACCAACAGGTCCAGGAATCAAGGCCCAGAGAGGGGAGCAATATGGCCAAGACCACACAGCAAATTAGGGGCAGAGCTGGGACCAGAGCTCCATTTTCTCAATGGCCAGTCAGGGGGCCCTTCCTTCCTCTTGGCAGAGACGGGTCCGTTTTGTCCTGGATGGCCTTGACTGAGAGATGATGGGGCGCAGTAGAGGACAGGATCCGGGGCAGAGAGGCCCCAGTTTGAATCCTGCAGCCCTACTGTGAGAGCTGGAAGGGTGAGGTTTGGGGCAAGAGGCTCTGTCCCTCAAAGCCTCTGTTTCCCCCTCCATGGAGTGGGGAACCTGCCCCAGCTCCTTCCCGGGGCTCAGGCAGAGGGGCAGGTGTGACCGATGGCCTGTCCTGACCCGCGCCTCTCCCCTCTCTGCCCGCCCTGCAGCAGCGGCCCTTGAAACAGTCCCTGGGAAGCTCCCTGTGCCGAGAGTCGCACTGGAAGTGCCTGCTCCTCACGCTGCTCATCCATGCCTGCGGCGCCGTGGTGGCCTGGTGTCGCCTGGCCACCGTGCCCAGGCTGGTCCTGGGGCCTGAGGCAGCTCTGGCCCGAGGGGCCGGGGTCCCCCCGCCCACCTACCCGGCCAGCCCCTGCTCCGACGGCTACCTGTACATCCCGCTGGCCTTCGTCTCCCTCCTCTACCTCCTCTACCTGGCCGAGTGCTGGCACTGCCACGTGCGCTCCTGCCAGGCGCCGCGCACCGACGCGGGCACGGTGCTGGCGCTGATCCGCCGGCTGCAGCAGGCGCCGCCCTGCGTCTGGTGGAAGGCCACCAGCTACCACTACGTGCGCCGCACGCGCCAGATCACCCGCTACCGGAACGGCGATGCCTACACCACCACGCAGGTCTACCACGAGCGGGCAGACAGCCGCACGGCGCGCGGCGAGTTCGACTACTCGGCCCACGGCGTCCGCGACGTCTCCAAGGAGCTGGTGGGCCTGGCCGAGCACGCGGCCACGCGGCTGCGCTTCACCAAGTGCTTCAGCTTCGGCAGCGCCGAGGCCGAGGCCTCATACCTCACCCAGAGGGCCCGCTTCTTCAGCGCCAACGAGGGCCTGGACGACTACCTGGAGGCCCGCGAGGGCATGCACCTGAAGGACGTGGACTTCCGCGAGTCCCTCATGGTCTTCGCAGACCCCCGCAGCCCGCCCTGGTACGCCCGCGCCTGGGTCTTCTGGCTGGTGTCGGCCGCCACGCTGTCCTGGCCGCTGCGCGTCGTGGCGGCCTACGGCACGGCCCACGTGCACTACCAGGTGGAGAAGCTGTTCGGCGCCAGCTCGCCGCCCCCCGGCGCGGTGCCCAGCGGGCCCCCGCTCTCCCGCGTGGCCACGGTGGACTTCACCGAGCTGGAGTGGCACATCTGCTCCAACCGGCAGCTGGTGCCCAGCTACTCGGAGGCTGTGGTCATGGGCGCCGGCTCGGGCGCCTACCTCCGGGGCTGCCAGCGCTGCCGCCGCTCCCTCAGCAGCAACTCGCTGCCCCCAGCCCGGCCCAGCGGGCCCCGCCTGCCTTTCAGCCGCAGCCGCCTCTCCCTGGGAGCCGGGGGCCGGGCCACGCCAGGGGTCTTCCGAAGCCTGAGCGGGGGGCCGCTGGGGCGCCGTGGAGAGGACACAGAGCCCCTGGAAAGCCCCCCGTGCTACGAGGACGCCCTTTACTTCCCGGTGCTCATCGTCCACGGTGACAGCGGCTGCCAGGGGGATGGGCAGGGGGCACTCTGAGACCCAGGTGGCCTCCCGGAGCGGCCTCCTCCCCACCACCCTGCCACGGCCTTCGATGCCTGAGCAGCTGTTGTCCGAGACAGAGGGGAAAACAGACCAGCACATGAGGCGGGGGGTGGGGTGGGTAAAGTCCTTAAACAGACTGAAGCACAGTGACCAGGGTCATTCTGGGGGAGAATGGACAGCACTGAAGAGTCCAGGGACGGTCCCCACACGCCCCAGCGCCGCCACCGCCACCACCTTCCACCCCCTGCAGTGGCTGGTGATCCAGCTTACCCCCTCTCAGGTTGGGCGGGGGTGGCGGGGATGCTTCCAGAAAGCCTGGCACGGGGGAAGAGTCCTGCAGACAGCTGTTGCATGCAGCCGAGGGCTGCCTCTAGGCTCTTCTCTGCACGGCTGAGGCCACACTGGGAGCCCTCGAGCAACCCAGAAGCACAAATTGGTGGTTTGGGCCATGCCTGGCCAGGCCCGCCTCCACGAGGCTGAGAGGCTGGCAGTGGCTACCGGCCCCAAGTCCCCATCCTCCTCCCCGGACGCGCCCCTCCCTGCCTGCCCCCTGGTCTTTGCTCAGGGCCAGTCCCCAGTCAGATCCTGTGGCACAGCCCCTGTACTGGGAGCCAGGTTCTTGGAGCACAGCCTTGTCCGCCGTGGCCCCCTGTTTTTCCCCTCTGTACCCTCCCCCCACATCCAGCTCCCCTATGATCTGGGGTTCCTTCTCAGGGCCCCACCTTGATCCCACCTCTCCCGATCTCTGCTCTTGTGCCCCCCAAGGCCACCTCCGCCTCTATCAGCCACCCACACGCTCCCCCGGGCTTTGCCCTCTCATTATGCCCCCAGACTTCTCTGCTCTTCACCTTCCTGATGACCCACGGGGCCCAGGCCACGGGGCATCTGAGGGACTTCGGCCTTGGCCACAGCCTCTTGGACGATGCGCCTGCTCTGCCACGGGGGCCCCTGCTTCTCCCACCGGTGGGGCCCAGCCCAGTGGACACCAGCCCTCCTCCAGGGAGGAGAGAGCAGTCCCCTTCCAACTGGGCTTTCCACCACCTCTCAGGGGCCAGTGGGGGAGGGAGGAGGCAGAGAAGATGCAGATAAAATAAAAAGGTATGAAATGGAAGGTCTTCTCACGTGCATTCCTAAGGGGTGTGTCCAAGGGCACTACATGTGCGATGGGCCACCCGGGGTCAGTGATTCAATGCTTGGTTCTGGAAGGGGATGCCGGGTTGGGCTCCATTGTTCCCAGGAACAGGGTAAGCTGAGAGGGAACCCCCAACCCTGCGCAGCCGAGGATCCAAGACCCAGGTTTGAGTTGCTCTGAGCAGCTGACTCCCACCGGCCAACTGGTATCTGGGTCACTTTTAACACATCGTCTAAGTGGTCCGTCTTCCAGCCCGGAGGGGGTTTTCATTCCACGGCTGGGCAGGCTGAGGACCAAGAGATCAGAGTGGAAGGAAAGAGCTATGGTCTGTGGTGCCAGTTCAGTGCCCCCGATGGCTACTGGTGTTCGGGGGAGGGGGTGCTGAGCCGGTGGGAGGACACAGGGTGGGAAACAGCCAGGGCCACGCCAGCACATGGGATCTGAAGACCGAGAATAAGGGCGAAGGAAGGGACTCGCTTACTCTTGGCAGTGGCATCTTCCCATGTGCGGCTGTGCAAGATGTTCACTGTGCCAGGGCACCCGGCTGAAGGGCAAGTGTGGGTGGAAGCCAACCTGTGGGTGGCTCCTCCAGCCCCGACTTAGAGCTGCACCCTCCTGCACCAAGGCACCCTTCTCTAATCTGTGCAAAAGCACCAGAAGGACTAGTGGCTCTAGAAGGGTCCTGGGAAGGGGTGGGATTCGCCCGGGCAGAGACAGGGCAGAGGGGTTTCTGGGCCATGAGAGCTGCCTGAACAAAGGCCTGGATGCAAGGCATGAAGCAAGGCATGAAGAGGAGGGAGAAGCCAACAGCCGTGAAACAGTTGGTAAGACCTTCAATACCAAACCTCAGAAATTGTCTGTAAGCTGGGGCAATCTGGATCCACGAACGTGGTTGCGCAGGTAAGTGACGAGGTCAGGACCACCTCTTAGAATTTTAGGCAAAGTCCAGCTGCCTGCTGGCCATGTGGGGAGGGAGGTGTTAGACCAAAGCTTTCCCTGGACGTCGCTGCCTCGCTTCTTTGGAAGTGAAGCTGGCTCTTTGTTCAGAAGCAACTTGAAAACACTATGGTACCCAAGCATTTAAGGAGGCTGCAGGGACAGTGTGTGTGGGTGTGTTGGGGGCGGGGGGGACGTGGTTCACTGGATCCAACTTCTGCCCATAGAGGACGTTCTCCTTTTTCCATATTCCTGCACTAACAGCACAGTCACGAACTACCTGCTAAGCTATGATCCACTATGCTCTCCTTCTCAACAACAGAACCCCAGTTTTACTTCAGATGGCAATGAGCCCAGCTAATAGGCAACATTTCTAGCCTCCCCTGCATATATAGTGTGATGGTGTGACTCAATTTTAGGATATGAGATACAAGCAGAAGGTGTTGGAAAGGATTTTTAAGACAGCTCCATGAAATAGAAATAGTATCCGTGGGGCACCTGGGTGGCTTAATGGGTTAGAGCCTCTGCCTTCAGCCAGGTCATGATCCCGGGGTACTGGGATCAAGCCCCACATCAGGCTCTCTGCTCAGCAGGGAGCCTGCTTCCCTTCCTCTCTCTGCCTGCCTCTCTGCTTGCTTGTGATCTCTATCTGTCAGATAAATAAATAAATAAATAAAATCTTAAAAAAAAAAGATTACTAAAAAAAAAAAAAAAGAAAAATAAATAGTATCCGTGAAGGCTAGTTCTGTCCTCTTGTTTCATACTGCATTCAGCCTGGAATGCAGATGTGATGGTTGGAACTCCAGCAGCAATGTTGGATCAGGATGTGACCTTGAGAACTGTACTCCTGTGCTGAGGCTAGCAGAACAACAAGATAAAAGACCCTGGGCTTCTGATGACATCATAGGAGGTTTCATATCATCCTTGGGTTGTCTACTTCCAGATTCTCAATAAAAAAGAGAAATAAAGTTCTAGTTGTTTTAAGTTACTGTTTCCCCCCCACCTTGTTTCTATTACTGGCATCCTATGTTAATTATCTACTACCACATAACAAATTACCCCAAAACTTAGTGGCTGAAAACATCAATAATCATTATTATCCTTCCTGGTTTCTGTGGGTCAAGAATTCAGACAGGGCAAACAGGGATGGTTTAAACTCTGCTTTGGGACATCTAGGGCCTCTGTTGGAAGGTTCTAAAGCCAGGGGCAGAATCATCTGAAGTCTCATTAATTCATATGTTGGGCACTTGGTGCTGGCTGATGGCTGAGGGCCTAACTAGGTCTGTTGACTGGGATACCCAAAGAGGACCTCTCCTCTTGGGTTGGTTCCCTCATAACATGGTGGCTGGTTCCAAGGACAAGTGTATCCTGAGGGTAAAAGCTATTATTGCCCATTATGATCTAGCCTTAGAAGCTACATACGCCACTTCTACCCCTTTCTGTTGGTCAAGTTTATTAAGAAAATCTACCCAGTTTCTAGGGGAGGAAATAGAAGACCCACATCTCAGCGGGAGCTTGTCAACATCACATTGTACAATTGGATGCCAGATAGGAGATATCCTGGTGATTATCTTCAAAAAGGCAATCAGCCACTGAGCCAAATGCCACACCTCACTGATAGACATCTACAGAGTGGTCTACAATATGAACACCAACCCTTTCATGATGTTGGTTTGAGAGAAGGTAGTGACATGACGGATGTGGGCCAACTGGGGGCAGAACGACCTGCTCAGGTCATTTACTGGGGCCCTCTGACCCAGGATAGCTTAAATATGGCCCCCAATTCTTCACAGCCTTCCCTCAAGAGATGTCATCTATCTCACCACTCTTTAAATCTGGGCCGGCCTTGTGACTTGCCTTGACCAATAGAACATGGTGGATGTGATGTTTGCACCTGGAGAGGTTGGGTCTTGAGAGGCCTCGCAACTTCTACCCTTGGTGTCTTGGAGCCCCGAGACCACTACGCTGTGGTCAGCCTTGCCTCCTGATGGATGACAGGTTGTATGCAGGAAGACTAGGGCCCCCAGTCAAGAGCTAGTTATTAGCATCAGCTTCCAGATATGGTAATGGGGCCATCTTGGATATGTTTGACCCAATTGAATCACAGATCACCATAGATAGCCACAAGAATGACCCTGGGTGCAACTAGCAGAAGAATCACCGGGCTGTTCCCAGACCAAATTGCTGACTGGTGAGAAATAAGAAATCCTTGTCGTTTTATGACACTGAGCTTAGAGGTAGTGGGTTGCGGGCACTGGAGAGCTGATACAAGGCCCCACTTTCTTAACAAAGCCCCAGCCACAGGGACCTGGTGCCTGATCCTAAAACAGGGCCAGCTCCTTCCTGCCTCGAAGTCTTGGCACACACTGTCCCACCTCCTGGAGCTTTCTTCCTTCCCCCCACTCTTCCCTTGCTCCTCTCACTCCTGGGGGCTTGGCTTGTGTGCGAGTCCTGACAGTCTAAATCCATCCCCCACCAACCCCACTGCTATCCTTGCGCTAATTTCTACATAAGTCTGTACAAGTGCATTATTTGTTCTTCTATTAGCACTAAAGCTCTGGGAGGCAGGTGGTCGCAGATGTAGATCTTTGAGTTGGACAAAGTCTGCCAGTATGACCTGAGTGGCCCTGGGCAAGTCACTTACCCTCTCTCTGTCTCAGTCTTCTCAGCTCAAATGGGGGATAATAATCGAATCTACTGACTTCAGAGGGTTATCATAAGGACTGAGTAAGATCATAGAATACCATGTCTAACACAGGGCCCCAGTATAGTAACGGGTCAATACATTTAGCTGTAATCATCATTAGTACTAGTATTATTAGTATTATTATTAACTATGAACAGACACTCCAAATGACAGACACATGCTTCACCAGTAGCCAGCACAAAATTACAGGCACAGTGTCTGCCACACGATAGACGTCCAGGCGGTATGTGCTAAGTGAATGACTGCTGAGCTCCTACCAACACCTCCGACATCCGGGGTTACTATATCCTGAGGATGGAGTCATAGACCCACTTAGCCCAGAGCCCAGACCAGCCACAGGAGCCTTGCCTCACGCGGCCTCGTTTGAGGTGGAGACTTACGATCCCAAGGATGTGAATGGACCCAAGAAGGGCCCCTGGGGAAACGCAAGCTGCCTTCCCAGCCAGAGCACACCATGAAGTTTTGCGTCTCCCCCATGAATTGAGGCTCAGGACCCCTGGCCCCGCAAGAGCTTCCCCCAGCTTGCTGGCCCCTGCCTTTTCCATGAGTTTTATCCTCTCCCTTATGTCACCCACGCTGCCATCTCTTCTCCGAAGCTCCCAAGGGAAGTCATCGCTGAGGTGGCCGGGGTGTTTCTGGAAAGCGTGAGGAAGGTCAGACGTCCAGCCCGAAACTGGACACATCCCTGAGTCAGGGCGGGCATGGTGCGCTATTGCCCTGCTGGGTGAAGTCTCTAGAAGTCAGATTCCACAGAAAGAAAGAAAGCCAGACTGGCCAGCTTGATAAGGGCACACAATGGGCCAGAGGCCGTATGTCCGGCATCCGCTCCAAAGAGGAGTTTCTGTCCGGAACGTCAGCTGAGGCCCAGATCAAACGGTTCTCAGTAACCCAGGGTCCTACTCTGAAAGACAGGCATGTTTTTCTTCTCTTTGACTGCTATTTTTGAAACTTGAAAGAGACCGAAATAAAAATACTGAATTCTTTCAGGAGAAGAATTTCAAAGTTTTGTTTTGTTTTTTTTTTTTTTTACTTCACAGAGAGAGAGCGAGGACAAGCAGGCAGAGTAGCAGCCAAAGGGAGAGGGAGAAGCAGGCTTCCCGATGAGCAGGGAGCCTAATGCAGGGCTCAATCCCAGGACCCTGAGATGACCTGAGCCAAAGGCAGACGCTCAACCGACTGAGCCACCCAGGTGCCCCTCAGTAGAAGAATTTCAATGTATGTGTTATAAAAGCACAACATGCAGGGAGCCTGGGTGTCTCAGTGGTTTAAGCCTCTGCCTTTGGCTCAGGTCATGATCTCAGGGTTCTGGGATCGAGCCCCTAATCAGGCTCTCTGCTCAGCAGGGAGCCTGCTTCCCCCTCTCTCTCTGCCTGCCTCTCTGCCTACTTGTGATCTCTCTGTCAAATAAATAAATAAAATATTAAAAAATAATAAAAGCACAACATGCTTCTCCCTCTTCCCCTCCCCCTGCTCATGCTCACTCACTCTTGCTCTCTCACGAATAAATAGATAAATAAAATCTAAAAAAAAAAAGAAAGTAAACTTGGGTGCCCAGGTGGCTTAGTTGGTTAAATGCCTGCCTTCAACTCAGATTGTGATCCTAGGGTCCTGGGATCGAGCCCCATGATGGGCTCCCTGCTCGTGGAGAGAGCCTGCTTCTCCCTCTCCTTCTGCAGCTCCCCCTGCTTGTGCTCTCTCACGCTCTGTCAAATAAATGAAATCTTTTTTAAAAATAACAAAGGTAAGGACCTTGAAGTGGGAAGATAATTGTAAAATATCCAGGTGCAGCATCCATTTCAACCAGCCTTTTGGGGGCTCCTTTGATCAGCCTGTTTTCGGGGGCCACATAGAGTGGAGAATCGCTGGGGGCTGGCAAAGCACCAGTCTGTGGACCGGGCAGCTCATGGGTAGGATAGACTTTTTCTCCAAGCCTTGCAATTCTTCCCTACGTAGTATTCCAAAGGAAGTCTGACTCTTCGTAGTGTGGGTCAGTGTTAGGTCCAGGCTAGAGTGAACCCTCTGGAAAAAGCTGCCACCAGATGTCTGTGTTAGAGCAAGAAAACCCACCTTTCCCTGAGCACCCCCTAAGACAATCCATGTGTCAAGATCTGAATAGTTCCTTTCGGCTGCCTGGTGGTGCAGCCCCAAATTGCAGGTTTGCAAGCTCTGCCTCCCTGGCTTCCATCACCCATCCTAGATGTGACGTCGTCTTCCCAATCTGACTTTTGCATGCCATAAAGAAAGGAGAGAGGGGAAGGGGTGTAGACATTCCCAATCCCGAACCTTCCTCCCTGCTCTCCAAGTGGATCCAGCTGTCTAACAAGACCCTTCCTTCGATGTAGGGCCTGCCACACTGCAGCAAACTCCCAGGAGGCCACAAAATACTATAAAACTTTGAGAGAAATACTGGACATCTCTCAGACTGCTAACTCGAGGCAGTTCAGTTTTACCACTGGGTTGTACACGTTCCTTTTGATAACATAATATCTCTGTGAATGTGGGTTTTTGGCAGCTGCCACCATCAAAAGCAAGTACTATTGGGAGAGTCAATGTGTAACAGGAAATGAAAGTGGCGCTGTCCAATCTGGTTCCAAGTTTTGAGAAATTGTGCAGTACGCAACAGGCACACATATCCCACTAGCAAGTGATTGTGATTACTTAAGAATAAAAATATTCTTCCATCTTTCAGTGTATGTGTATTATTCTTTCAAATAACTACTGAGGTATTAAAATATAAGTACCTCTTTGGGATGCCTGGGTGGCTCAGTCTGTTAAGCGTTGGACTCTTGATTTTGGGGTCAGGTCCTGATCTGAGTCATGAGATCGAGCACCACACTGGGGCCTCCCAGGGAGAATCCTTGAACTCACCAAAACCATGCTAAAGGCTGGCCACAGCCGGATGCCCTAAAACTGAGCCTCGACTGGACCCCTCATCTGGACCCCTCGCCCGGATCCCATAAAGTCACAGGTAATGCCTTGTGTAACCAGCATTATCAAAGCACAAGGGGAGTGTATGTCTTGCAGGCTCCTCAGTGAAAGCAAGCCCCCCCTGTTGAGGTCGACCCCATGGGGCTTTTTCTGTAGACCTGTATCGCTGGAAATGCCTCATAGCATAGATGTAGATGTGTGGTTTCCTTTATTCACAGAACTATGTGTTAGATCTATGGGAAAGAACTACAAGACATCTATCTAGAAGCTGTGCAAAAGGCCTGTCAAATATTTTATTACCTTTTTAAAAATATTTTTTATTTGGGACGCCTGGGTGGCTCAGTGGGTTAAAGCCTCTGCCTTCGGCTCAGGTCATGATCCCATCGAGCTCCGCATTGGGCTCTCTGCTCAGCAGGGATCCTACTTCCCTTCCTCTCTCTCTGCCTGCCTCTCTGCCTACTTGTGATCTCTGTCTGCCAAACAAAATAAATAAAATCTTAAAAAAAACACACACATTTTTTATTTAAGAGACAGAGAGAGCATGCATGCATGAGTAGGGGGAGGGGCAAAGGGAGAGAATCTTCCAGCAGACTTCCAGGGGAGCCCAGAGCTGGTACAGGCGGGGAGGGGGGACAGGGGTCTCCCCTGGGGGCTCGATCCCACAACTCATGAGACTCTGACCTTGAGCTGGAACCAAGAGCTCAACACTTAACGGACAGAGCCACCTAGGTGCCCTGCAGTCAAATATTTTCAATTTTAGGTATTGGCATATCCCAATAATCTGTACAATTCCAGAGTGTGATAGTTCAGGGATGAATATGATTTGACATTATTCATGTTTAGAGAGTGTCTGGAATTGAGAACCAGAAAGAACCATCTACTCTGCCCCCGAATGTGGCCCTAAAGTAAAGAAATTGGATTCCAAAGATTACAGGTACAGAATTTCTTAAGTATGTCCATATTTAAGTGGAGATCAAAGAAGCCAACCATGAAGGATGTGGACCGGGCAGCTCATGGGTAGGATAGACTTTTTAAAATATCCAGGTGCAGCATCCATTTCAACCAGCCTTTTGGACTGGGGCGCCTGGGTGGCTTAGTTGGTGAAGCAACTGCCTTTGGGTCAGGTCATAATCCTGGAGTCCCAGGATCAAGTCCCACATCAGGCTCCCTTCTCCCTCTGACTTCCCCCCGTCTCATGCTCTTTCTCTCAAATAAATAAATAAATAAATAAATAAATAAATAAAATCATTTAGAAAAGATTGTGGACTGACACCGACAACTGTGGATTAAACAGTTCTTTTTAAAGGACTATTTTGAAGATTATGATTCTGACTTGGGAGGAACTAAAGTGATTGGGCGTGGAAGGAATCATATAAAATTCCTTAAATAAAAATGTATTGACCAAAACAAACAAACAAACAAAAGCCAAGTTCCCTGGAAGGTGGGCATTTCCTAATCTGAGACGTGGCTGTTATTATGGACTGGCTCTGCTCTAGGGGTGAAGATCATGGAATCCATCTGGGTTCAAACCTCCGCTTACTAACTTGGTCAGGTAGGGTGGGTGGGTTCACGCAAGGCACTCAGGCAAGCGCCTTCAGCTTCCTCATCTGCAAATCATGGTGAGAGCGGCCCTCACTGCAAGGTCCTTCTTGACCTCAAGTGGGTAAAGACATGCAAAGCCCTTAGAACAGGATGAGGGAGACGATTATTTTCATTACGATTTAGCATCGAACCCTACTCCCGTTCATAGTCCCCAGGACGCCAGAACTGGAAATCTCATCTGGAAAGCATCTCATTCCCCAGGCTTTAGTTGTGGGCGGGGGAGGGGGGTATGGTGGGTTGGTTGGGGGCGGGGGCGCTCCATAACCAAATACCTAAAGCAGAAAGTGAAGGGTGTCCAGCGCGGTGCTGGTACCTACTGGAGCTCAGTAGATGTTAGTGCTGCCCGTCTTCAACCTTAGCTCCCCAGTCTGCCCCAGTAATGTTTGAAAAACATTCCATTGCGCCCCTGACACCGAACTCTGGAGTGTCCTTGACTCCTGGAACCCCCGTCTAGTGTGGGAGTGAGCAGGGGAATATTTTCAAACGTAGTGATGACACTGAGAGTGTCAGCTTCTACAGGAGGGTCTGTGAGCCCAAACCCACTCCCTCCTGCCAAAGGCACCCCTCTAAGGAAGGTGTTCACACTTTGGAGCACTAGCTGGGGGAGGGGAGGATCCAGCCTTAAGGATTCAGGTGAGAGTCTGTGCTTTCAGTCCTGGGAAACAGGATTCGTGGGTAAGGTACAGCGAAAGTCCCCCCAGCTGCTGTAAAGACTGGCGGGGGGCCGCTTCAGCTCACAGAGGCCCCCTTGGGGTCTTCCAAATACGACAGAGGGCCCATGGGAGTGGATCTGCTGTTTTTCCTGAGAGCAAATATTTGCCGAAGCAGCCAAAATGGAATAATACAAACATTTAATGAATTAAGCAAGTATTTATTGAGCCCTAATGTGCTTTGGGAGACGGGCCGGTGGCTGCAAGCCCGCGCGCCGAAGGCAGGTGGCGCCAAAGGCCCATTCTGCCACGTCGCCCGTAGGGCTCTCGACCTCATCCCAGAGCTCCCTCCAGAGAACCTACAATCTAGACGACCGGAAACCGTGAGTAGGGAAGGAGACGGGGTGCCAGGACCGGGTTCAAGCGTATCCTGGTCAGGGACGAGGAGTTCGGATCCACACTAGTCTGAGCAAATTCAGAAAGCGGTCAGCGACTTTGGGAGTCCCGGACCCGGGAAAGCCGAGAAGGCGGAACCTACAGGTAGGCGTGGCTATGCATTCACAGTAGGTGGAGCCTGAGAGAAGCTGTAGGGTTACGCTCTCTGCGTGGGCGGATGCTTTTGTGCGACGCCCCCAACCAGGGGCGCTCTGGATGGGCGGGACTTAAGGGATCGTCAGGGGTGGAGCTTGTGGATATTCTCAGTGGGCGGACCCGAGGACTCAGTAGGTGGGCCATCACCTCGGTGAGAAGGGAAAGTGTTAGCCGGACGTGGGCGGAGCTCTTTTCCCAAGGGAGGCGGTCCTGGAGCCCGCCCTACGATTTGAGCCGCTGTGAGTGGGCGGGACTTGTAACTGGGGGCGGAGCCTGAAGAGGAGCTAAAGGGGAACCCGTAAGCTCCTGGAAGACGGAGTTCGCAGCTCTTCTGGACAGAGGAAGGGTCTCTGCGCGATCTCCTGCACTCGTGAGCCGAGTCTCCGGCTCCGAGGAGGGCGGAGCTTGTGTTTCTGTTAGGCGGGACACACAACGCGGCGTGAGAGGAAAGTGTTCATACTTTCTGGAAGCGGGAACCAATACTGCCAGTCTGTGCGAGCCGCCCTAAGGAGGCGGGGCTTATGACCCCCCTGGTGGGCGGGGCCATTGTTACTGCCTCGGCCGGGGCGGAGCAAAGTTCTTGTAGAATCTCTGAGCTGGCAGGGGGCGTGGCTGGTGGCTTTGGTGGGCGGTGCTTCTGAAGAACTCCCGAGGGGCACGTTGACAGTAGTGGGTGGGCGTGGCTCGTAGCTCGGAGGGATCTGTCGGATAGTGCCGGCATCTGCCTGCAGGCGATGTTCGCGCCAGGATGAGGAGGGGTCTGAGGGTCGGTGGGCGGAGCCCAAGACACAGCTCCGGGTCTGGGCGAAGCCCAGACTGGGCGCAGGCAGGGGTTCTGCCTTGGGAGGCAGTCTGTTTAGGCCCGCACGCAGCTCCGCATCTGTTGCTCATTACGGGATGACAAAGAGCCGGCTCTGGGCCCCCTTCCCCACGCCCATCCCCTCCCTCCGACAACAGTGCATTTAACTCCTTCCTGCCCTGACGGCGCTCTGGATACCCTGCCCAGGGTCCCAGGAGGGAGCTCCAGTCTGTGCCATCCTGGCACGCTTTGTTACCCGCCCCAGGCTGCTCCCACACCTCCTTCTCAGACTCAGGCCTCTAGGCCACCCCGCGACTCCACTGTCATGCATCGAATCTCTCCAGCGGCCTCTCGGAGGTTAAACGCTTAGGCAGGATCTGGCGGGGGGCGTCTGGTTTGAGTTAGGGGAACATGAGAGCGGGGGGGGGGGCCGGGGGCGGTGCGTAACGTTCCCTCCACCCCCTCCACGGCGCCCGGTTCGTCCCCAGTTCTGACCCCTCCTCTACCGGTCCCCTGCGGCCGGGCCCAGGTCCAGGCCCTGGGGCTAGAGGGTGGCATAGGACACTCAGTAGGGAAGGGGCCTCTAGGCCACCCCTCCTCTCCTGTCTGGGTGGTCGTGGTGGTTCTGCTCCGTCCTAATTAGAGGTCCCTAGGAGACTGCAACTGAAAAATTACAGAGGCAGTGGGAACCGGAGCCTCCCCCCTCCCCTCCTGCCCAGGTCCCACCTTTCCTCGTCCCCAAGGCAGTGAGCCCAGGATGAAAGAGTTTTCCAGGTTCCTGCAGGCTGTGATCTTTGACCATCCCCTCCTGGATTCATGGGACACCTCAGCATTGAGCAACTTGCCCAAGCTCTGGTCTCCTGGGTTCTCTCTGTCCCAGCACCACCCGCATGGAGAAGGGCAAAATGCAGCCGAAGCCTTGCTCAGAAGCCTGCCAAGGGAGCTGGATATGGGATGTCTCCCCCAGGTTCTGCGCTCTCCCCATCCCAGCCTGCTAGGCAGTGACTCCCACCTCTTCCCCAGAGCAGGGAGGGACAGGCACCTTCAGAGCACCTATAACCCAGCGGAGTGGCAGCTCCCTTGAGTGACCCTGGACCCCAGCTGCCAACTTCTGGGCAGCCTGTGGGGGTGGGATGGCAAGTACCAGAAGACAGTTAGAAGCTCACCCCTCACTCCCCAGAATTGCCAGACCCAGAGCTTAACTTTGACTCCTAAATCCCAGTTTGGCTGCCATTGATCAGAAGCCCTCGTTCTAGAGGGCTTCCCCATTTTTAGCCCCACTTGCTTGGAGTTTTGCTAAAAAGAAAAACAAATATGAAATTCTCTCCATGCCAAAACTCCCACTCCCGGGCTAGCTGTGTGACCTTGGGCAAGGCTCTGACCTCTCTGGGCTCCTGTTTACCAGAGAATCTCTGAAGCATACCCTCCTTTAAGGTGTCTTACCTTATTTCCTTGGGGCCCACACAAGCTGAAGGAAGGTCCCCTCTTTTTTGCTGAGTCCTCCCAGGCCCTCCCCTCAGACATCAATGGGGGTCAGGAACTTTGGGTGAGGTTGGCACCCCGTTTATTGGAGAAGACCCCAGCACCCACCCCCTGAGGTCCTGGGAGCCTTGGCGT